ATGATTCTGATACATGGAATTTAGCATTTAGTAAAACATTAAATATTTTAACACAAATTCTTGATAATGAACAAGATGATACATTATACAAAGTTTATAGTCTTCGTATAATACGTGAATTATTAACACATCATACAAGTTTATTTATGAATTATATTGAATTAACTATATTTCGAATCTTAAAAGCACAAAGTGATACGGAAAGTGAAGTAAGTAATATTAGTTATTCCTTTTTTTTGTGTATGTCATCAAAATATGAACAAAAATTATTTTTTGTTTTGCAGATAACCCGTTCAGCTGAACAAGCAGCTCATGCTGCAGCAGAATATTTACCAGCTGAAAATACTGTTCGAGTACTTAAACCAATTATTGAACAAGCAAAATATCCAATGAATCAATCAGCTATTGCAATGTTACAAAAAACAATTGAATTCATGAATAAAGATACGTGTACAGAATTAATGTCTGAAATGATTCCACCATTGTTAACGGTAATTTTTTTGTTTTTTTTGTTTGTTTATTTTAAATAATCAATAATATAAAATATTTAAATAAAAATACTAAGGCTTGGGATACGCATTCCCATAATCTCACCGGTGGAGAAAACGTAAGAATTGGTTTTTCTTTTCTTTTTATCTTTCTCATACAATTGCTCTGGTTTTATTCCTGTCTTTGCATGTGATATATATATATATATGATCAATGCTATAATATTGATTTGAAATTTATTTCGAATATAAATAATTCGGTTTTTTTCTTTGTTTTTAGTCATGGGATAGTGAAACATCAAGTGTACGAAAAGCAGCAGTTTTTTGTTTGGTTTCAATTTATTTGGTTGTCGGCGATAGTCTTCGTACTCATTTGCATAAATTAAGTGCAAGCAAGGTAAAAGAAAACAAAAAGAATAAAAAATTGGTTTCGTTTGAGTTTTATAATTGAGTAAATATGAGATAATCGTACGATTTATTTTAATATAGTCTCGATTTTCAAGAGAAGTTTTGGTAAGATAATATCGCGATCTACTATTTTGTTTTTGTGTCGCTGCTTACTCCTATATTGCTTTGTTCATTATTTTTCTGATTGATATTATTTTGATTTATAAAAACAAAATTTTATTATTCAAGGTCTTCTTCATTGATTGATTTTTAATATAATGTTTAATTGAATCGTAATTTTAAATTTCATCATGTGCTTATTAAGGAATATCTTTGAAAGTGAATTATATGAGTTTTCTGAATAAAAATTTATTTTTTTCTAAATCTAGTTTAGATTTTATTAAAATATTTCAAAATATTAATAAAAAATATTCTATTTTAACGGTAAGGAATATATAGAATCATAACTTTCGACTTGGACGACTAGAGTCTATCGTGTCTAAGAATTTCCGACCTGGACTCAGTTTACTAGAATTTTTGGTATCTAGATCCGGATCCGGTTGAACTGTACTTTCATACTCTCAATGAAATTTCCTAATCGGAATTGGATAATTATACCTGAGGTTATGAAATACTTCTTTTTCTGGGTTGTTGTAGTCGGTTACTAGCATGCTCTACACATATCTCTGACGATTAGAGCCTATTGGGTCTAAATTATTCGGTCCGGATGGGATCTACCGACGATTAATCACCATTAAAATCTAAACTAATGCCATCGATCCTTATTAGTAATATTCTATGTGCTAAAATGAATGACATAGTAATCATTACATTTGATTTGAATTACTTAATTGTTAAGAGACAAAAAAAAGATCAAAATCAAAGTTGATTTTTTTTTTATACATATGAAGTAAAATAATTTTAATTCTTTTTACTTTTTTCTTTTAAGCTCAAATTATTAAATGTTTACATCTCAAAAGCTCAGCAACAAACAAGTAATACAAGCAGTTTAGAAAAATCATCAACAATAAGTGTGAATAGCAACAAGATTTAATAAAAATGGATTCTCATTTTGATGTCTTTTGTATGTACATAGAGAGTTAGACTTTTTACCTTTATTCTTAACTTAATTGTGTTTGTCTATGTATGTGTATGTGTGTGTATTGAAAAACAAAAGAAAAACAAATGTGAATGATTATGATGATGATGATGATGATGATCTTTTTTCTTTTATTTCATTTAACGTTTACAAATGTAGAAATTTGATCACTATTCATTTCTTTTTCTTCTATAGATGATTCAATATTATTATCATTATTACTATTCTTATTGTTGTTGTTGTTGCTCGTTGTATGTTCTCTTCTTTCATTTTTTTTTGTTCTTCTTCTACTTTTTCTCTTTGTTCAAACAAATTCTTATTATTTTTTTCTTGTCTTCTTCAAACACAACTATAAAAAGGAAAATAAATAAGTTAACACAAAAGAAAAGAAAACACATATTAGTAATTTCCTCCATTATAAACATCGATATAAATAAAGTGTTGAACCTTCAGGTATACCAAGTGAACGAAGTGAACAAAATTGATGACAATCAATACGTTGTTGACCAAAACATAACATCATTTCATATTGTGGAATACATAATGCACGTTGTAAACCATAGAGTATATCAAGTATACGTGCATCACTATCACTACGTATTCGTACTTCATAGCAACATCCTTCATAGGAAACATAAACAATTGTTGCTTGGGAATTATTATTGTTATTATTAGCATATGATGTGGACATCATATTTATTTTGATTCGATTGAAAATTTAGGAAAAAAAATTATATGACAAAATGAAAATATTCAAAGATAATGACGTAGAAATAACTATAGGCGGGTGAGATTTTTTACTATGTATATATGAAAAAAAAATTAAAATAAACAGAATTGGCGCTTGATCGGAAATACAGAGAAAGCATCTGTATTATCTATTTCATGACTGATTCGTTAAGGAAATATGCGTGGATGCATTTAAGCACAATAGTAAGATCAACAAAAGATGGTCGTTAAAATTCTTTCGATCATAGAATAATTAGAATATTAACAACGCATGATCTATCTGAAATAACGATCAACATCAAAAATAACTATCTTGTTTTTTTGTTCATTAAATCAGTAAGTATGTAGTGGGTGTACATCGAGTTGTTGATGGAAAAATAAATGGCGAGAATATTGTATTATGCTATATACGCATGTATAATTGACTTCAACTAACAGATGGCATAATTATTGATTTCGCACAGTGAGTAATTAGAAAATGTAAATATCATTATCATATAAAATCGATTGATCATAGTCGGAAAAAAATTTTCTATTAAGTAACAATATACAATTGTATATTGTGAAAAATTATGTTTGATTTTATCTACAAGACAAAGCAGATGTTAAGTATGTAAACATTTTCTTCGATAAATAAAGCCACTACATTATTCATCTAAAAAAACGATGTTACTATCATCTAATACTAACTGTTATGTCTCTCGTATTGGTAATGATTAATTGTTGAAAACATTGTCTAACACTAGTGTAAATATATTTTAAACAGAATTAATAATCATCATGGACGCGTAAAATTAGACTGTAACTAGGTGAAAATAGAATTATGCAAATTTTAGGTGTATCTCAAATCAAATCTGAACATTTCAAATTTAAATTTAGTTCTGTTTAATTCAAAAATTAATATTAAAATTATATAATATTTTTACATTTTAAATTTGAAATTACATTCATTGGTTTCTACTTCAACTATACAGTATATTTGTTTTGAAGTAATTAATGCACCGTAATTTCTATATTCGAGTTGACATTATCTTACTGATAATATTCCTTTTCTTTTCGTTCAGATTGACTCATTCAAAAGGTTGTCTGTCAACAAATTTTCTCGTACTTAAGACACTAGTTTGACGAAACATTTCCTATTTTTATCTTAACTGAAAAGAAAATAATTATTCATCACTCTAGCAAATTCTAGTTTAGTAGCAATTAGTTTTCGCTTTGCCATATATAGCTTCAGAATACACGTAAGGTTAAGATATTAGTATAAGCGATATCTGTAGTATGTAGTTATTTGACAACAATGTTTTTTTTTTTGTTAAATGCATTTCATTAAACTAATAATGATTTTTGATCAGATCTAAAAACAAACCAGAACACGATGAACCTAAACTTTCAACACTTGTATAATCTGTTGTTTTTGGCTAATATGATTTTGATGCACGATAATAAGAGTTTTTTTTGCTAGCAAATGTAATTTGAATAACATTAACTATATAGAATACAAATGCACGATAAGTTTACAAACTATTTAGTCAAAATATTTATCCAAGAATTGATATTAAAATTAATGATCATCTTTTTAGCTATTGTCTTAATATTTGTCTATATTGAGTTCTTACATCTGGATGAGAGTTCATTTATTTATTTTTTTATCAAAATAAAGATTAAATATATTGAGGGCAAATTATTGCTTGTATGAACAATATATTGTTTTGTTTTTGTCCTCAAAGTAGCTTTAAATAAGACAATAAAAATATTAAATAAATCAGTTTTTTTTTCTTAAATATTTTATCTTTGCTGTGAATAGAATTGTAAATAATAGTAATTGCCACATACCGATCAACGGAAAAAAGCTTTTACTAAGGCGGAGATTGGTAGGAAAAGAGAATAAAAGAGAAAGAAAAACCGAGAAAATCTCTAGTTTCTCTCTTTCTCTTTTCTTTAGCTTTCGTTAATGCCATTCATTCACCTCTTATGCACGCACAACGATATATACCCTTCATGTCATGTATTTCTGACAAATTATTGCATGAAATTTAAATGAAAATTTCCTATCATAAAATTCGAAGCACATCATATTAACAAAATGATATTGTCTAATCCCTGACTAAACGAGAAAAAGATCACGTGTTTTCTTTTCATCTTTATATCATTCTTTATATTGATATTGATACAGATATTTTGATGAGAACTCATTTTAGATTCATTTTTACTCCTTATTTCATCATCCTCATCTTTATTTTTCTTCTTCGTTGTCAATCAACAACATGAAGCTATACGTCTTTATATTTGCTATCTTGATGATTTTGGTACAAACAATCTTTAGTCAAGCCACGCTCACGCAGAGTGTTTTGGACAATAACAATCTTAAACGGTGAGTGTATACTAGAAAACATAGAGACTACCTATGTGTGTGCCAAAGTTCCGTTTTATCTATTGTCACATAGTATTTCCGTTTAATGACATGATAGTCTTTCTTAGTTTGTTGTTTTTCTATGTTTCATTTCGTATTTTAATTCGAATTGTCATATACATTTACTGAATCCTCCTACCGTCTACTGATTACTTTACAATCGAATCAACTTTTTTTGCTTTGCTATTGTTGAAAACAATAAGATATATTTTGTTATAAATTTAAAGGCACGAGAAAAAATGTTCTATATGGCGTGATCAATTGTTCAGTTTACCTATCTGGCCTCAACGCTCATAAATCATTTTAGATATTGTATGTGTAAAATGTTTCCGTTATGACATGAAAATTTTTCTAATGATATACTATGTCAAATAAAAACTCAATAGAGGGTCAATTTTTAAAGAGGCATTCTACTTAAAATAGAATAATGTAAATCAAATATATATATTCATAATATTGTTGTCCGACGACAATGATATTGACAAACGGAAGTCAATGTCATTACGAATGGATTTATAAACATTGGCAACTAAAACGTAAAAAATATTTTTTCCCGCCCTGTTGTCATGTCTAATAAATAAATACAAAAAAAAAAGATTTATTTCAATGTCAACGTTACTGTTTAAATTCATCAATTTTAATTGTTTGTTTATTTTTGTTCGTAGTATGAGTAGTGCCTGGGGTAAACGCATGTCATCAGCTTGGGGAAAACGTATGACATCAGCATGGGGAAAACGAGGTGAAAGTGATAGTGATGAACTTTACAATCATCTTCTTCGAGAACTTTATCATCAAGCTCGTCTTAGTAAATATGACTATCCACGATATCCAATTGACAATGAAGGTGAGAATATGATTTTAATTATGATTAAATATTTCTATATCATTATTTAGTTTATGAACAATATTTAGCACAGCGTACATCATCAAACAATGACGACGAAGCTGCACCACAAAATGTGTCATAAGGAATTAAAAGAAGCTGCCATCATAAATAAAACATTCAAGCATACAGTTTTTTCGCTTATTTTTTTTGTTTTTTCGAATTTCTGTAGAATTCTATTAAAAAAACCCAAGTCATTCAACGTGCTGTACGCGTTAAATATCATCTTTTTGTTTGACTTCAATTAACTATTTTCAAAAAAAAATATAACACTACTAATCTGAAAAAAATCATATGTAAAAATATTTTCTCGATCGTCAAAATCTGATTATTACGCAAGAAAATGCACAGCCTAAAATAAGTGTCTCACGAAAGATTGTGAAGAATTTTTTTGCTTTTTTTTCAGATTGTAACAAATATTGATTGTCTCCTGTGGCATGAAGAAAGAGAAAAATAAATACACACAGGTATATTAATGATGTACGACTGATCGCGAATATGAAATTCCTTTTTATATAATATTGTGACGATTTTCTTAAAATATAAATCAAAAATATTTTCATGTTTTGTTAAATATAAGTTCTAATTCGAACATGTTTTCTTCATATATCATTCATGACACAATCTCGTAGATTTTGCTGATTAGTATTTTTATTTTAAGTGAATATTGATACTCTCCTACTTGACATATTTATAATCGATTTGTTAAGTTGCATAAATAAATCGTTGTTTATCACAGATTAGATAGAATTATATAAAAAGCTTATATAAAAATTTTTTTTCCGATTATGAAGAAATAACTAAAGCAGAAAAAGATGACACTGATAGCCATTTCTTTCTTATGATAGCTGTCATACTCATTTTTTTTTCTTTCTGTAAGTCTCTTAAGAAGCTTATTATCAACCTTTTTTCTTTCTTGTGTTCAACGAATAAAATTTCCGATTTTTCATATTATCATAATTCTTCTTATTCTTTGAAGAATAATTAAAAATTATATTGAGAAAAAATAAATCAATGAATGATTCTATTTTGTTTTTATTATAATATCATAAAAGAACAATAGTAGATCAAATATTTGGTTCTAAAGAAAAGAAGCTTTTATTTAATACGAATTTATAATATCAATGTAGGAGACAAAAAAAAACACAACCTAATCCAATGAAGAAAAAAGAAACAGGTATCTTAACGCAGAAGAAACATAAGAAAGTTCGTTTTTTTTTATACAATATGAATACATCATTGAAAAAAAGATAATGTTGGTAAAATACTGTTAGTTATAAGAAAAAAAAGTGTCTTGTTTAAATAAATACGATTAAGAAGAACCATTCGGTTCGACATCCCTATAATAAATATGTAAGTAAATAAAGAAGAAATATTTATTAAGACTGTATATGCATGCAATCAATCATCTTTTTTTCTTTTGTAAAATAATGATCCAAAAGATATACATGCAAGAACATGCAGCATACAGTGAAAAAAAAAGTTATCATTGATAAACATATTGTAAAACTTCATTGTTCTCACCATAATCCTAAATTATACAAGTAAAAATTTAAGAACGATGAAAAAAGACGAAAAATTTTCATTATCTTACCTTTTGATTGTCCGCCTGGTGGTTGTTGAACACGTGTTGTTTTTCGAAGATTTCCATCATCCCATTGTTCACCTAAAAATATTTATCTATGAAAATTAATTTTTTATTTTCAAATCAAATACTTACCTGATAACATAAAACTTGAATCAAATAGATTTCGTGCTCCTAAAAATATTGTCTTATATATTAAAAAAAAAACAATTTATTATTCATACTAACCAGCACGTGTTGCTGGTCGATTATGAAAACCAGCAGCTGGTAATTCATGATTACTATGAATTGTTTGATTCTTTGGACTTGTTTTCAAATCACCATTTGAAACTGATTTTTTTGCATCGATGACTTCACCTGTATATGGTTCACGTTCAATCTTTTGTTGTTTGATAATCTAAATACAAGCAATAGTTGTAAATCAAAAAACTGATTAATTATTATGAATTTTACTTGTTCACGAAGTTGTTCTCGTTTATTTAATTTTTGATAAATATAATCAGTGAAACATGTTGTTTCAATATATTTGCCTGAACCTTGTATAGCATTTAACTGTATTTATAATGAATAAAATGACAATAAAAAAATTAAAACAAAAAAAAAAATAAAATAAAATACAAACTTGTCCATTTTCATAAGCAATTTTACCAGCAACAATAGTTATTATAGGTAAACCATGGCATTGAAAACCTTCGAATATATTAAAATCACATGCTTGATGATGTGTTGAAAAAGATATTGTTTTTGTTGCTTGTGGATCCCATATTAAACAATCACCATCAGAACCAACTGCAATGCGACCTTTTTTTGGATACATATTAAAAATACGTGCTGCATTAGAACTTGTTATAGCAACAAATTGATTTATATCGAGTTTGCCTGTTTCAACACCTTTAGTCCAAATAACTGATAAACGATCTTCAATACCATTGATACCATTTGGAATCTAAAAAAAAATTTTCTTCTTTTTGTTAATCTAGTTAAAATAGAAACTATTTTACTTTTCGAAAATCATCTTTGCCTAAAGCTTTTTGATTTCCATTAAACGTACAATGATCAGTAGCAGTTGTTGATAATGAACCACTGGAGGAATTAATACTAGCATTTTTATTCTGAAAGAATAATAAAAAATACATACTTAGCCAACAGATCCAAAAGATAAGGTCCTGTGGTTGGATCATTACGAAGAGGTGGTGACACCACATGAGCAGCTGCATGACGCCAACATTTATTAAAATATTGTGATCCATCAGTACCTAAACTTGCTACATTAGATTCACCAAATACGACTTGACCTATTTCAAATAAAAAAAAGATCATGAGTTTTATATGAACTTATTTAAAATACTAAATTGTATTCTACCTTTTAATCGTACCTCTTGTACTTTATCAGCTGCTGTTTTACTCATTATATGTACAACATAAAGAGGACATCTATGAAATAAAATTAAAAGTTCTAATTATCTTAATTTCAATGAAATTCTACCGAGCTTGTTCAGCAATAGTAATAGCTCGATTTGTAGCTTCAGCTTCAAGCTAAAATAGTTAATCTATTGATTATACAGAGACTAATATATATTATTATGATCTCTTGCCTTTTCTGGACGACTAAGAAGATGACCTTCAGGTCCTGTTATGCCTAGTTTTAACATTTCTTTTTCTAATTCTTTAATTACTAAACCATTTTCAGCATGTACCATAGCAATGGCACCGAGTTCACGACATTTTGAAAATATTTGAAATATTTCATCATCATGTAACATGAAAGTATCTGAATAAGCCATGAAAACTTTGAATGAATTAACACCTAAACAAAAAATTAATTTACAAATCAGTATATAAAGGATATTCTAAGAAGATGTATACACTAATTCATAGAATGATAGTAATGAATAACTGTCTATAAAGCAAGTACTAATTGAGCTCTTCACGGTGTTTTATTGTTTCTAGAGGTGTAGCTTAGCACTAGACCGCTCTGGCTGGGTGATTTTGTTGATTACCACATATCCACAAGGTACTGTGTGAAAATTTCACTGCCACCAGTCATAAAACGACATCGAACAAGTCATTAACGACTATTTGACTAGGATTATCCGTCTGATAGCATGCTGACTACGTTGTGACATACACCTAATCTTATGGCTAGAGTATGGGTGTGGATGAGAGTTCAAGCAATTGAGTGCAAGAACTCTGGGTTAAGTTGACCTTCTTTTCAGAGCTACAGCTAGTATTATTTATAAAAAAAGATATCGGACTATTGAATCTGCCATAAGGTAGCTGAAAGATAGGAGTGTTCTTCCTTCCAGCACTAAAGGCAGAGTAGGGGCTGCAGAATGATTACATTCTAGAAAGAAGGACGCTGCATGGGCAATTTTCGGAAGTATGGAAGGGGACGTCTTATCTTACGCGTTCCCCCCCCCCCCCCCAATAGCTATGCCCTTGATTGTTTTGTTTATTTTTTATAATAATAAAATTGATAAAACAGAACAGATCCGAACAGTATCTTATCTTCTCTATCATTTCAGATAATTCATGTAAAGATTTATTTAAAATTTCGTGCACTAGTAATCATTTTTTATTGTGTATACATCTTTTTAGAACAATTTGTAATTAGATATATATCTCTTGTGAAACCTTTTTCTTTCGTAAGTATTTCCATATCTTTAGCGACTTGTTCATTCCAATGTGTAATAGCAATATGTAAACCATAATCACAACAAACTTTTGAATCAGCTCGTTCACGCCACTGTTTATAAGCTTCAAGAAGTGTTTGTTCTTTTGTTGGAATAACAAGATCAACTATAAAAATAAAAGAAAGCAAAAAGATGAAAAACATTTTCTTTTATATGTAATCATAATTCAATTCATAGCTATCAAACAAAATCTTATATATCAAAAATAGTGATCATAATATTTATATTCGATTTTTCATCATATAAGAACTATTGATTAGATCTCTAGGTCGATCTAAATGTCTTTTCTATTACGTCACAATAACCATCATGCTATATAAAAAAAAAGAAAAAGAAAAAAAGAAGTGATGCAATCTGATTCTTTAACGTTTTCTTTTTTTTTCTTTTTCTTCTTTCTCATTTTAGCTTGTGAACAAATTAATAAACGACAGTAGTGATCGACTGAACGCAAAGAAACAAAAGTGAAATATGAAAGAATGATAGACAGTTAATCACTTTGTTTGGGTTGAGACCAACAAAGAAAATGACTGTATCATACGTAACAAATCTAATCAATATGCAAGAAACGAATGAAAAAACTAAAAATGGCATATATATGTATGTATATTATGAGTAAAAAAAAAGATTGTAGAGATACGTTCAAGGGTAGCGTGCTTCGATTTTTTATTCTCTCGTTTTCTTTTTTTTTTTTTTTTTTACCGTTTATACGGTCACTCACTAGAGCGCACATATATGTATATGTATGGTAAAAGATGCATATCTTTTATCAGCTGTCGCCTTATTTCATGACATCATCATCAAAATGATCGACGACGATGTAGTTTCAATCATATGCAATATGTATATATATGTTGTATGAAAACAGATTCATTTTCTCTATTGTCATTATAACTCTTCTACCTTTCCCATTCGCCATCATACATCGGACATAGGAAGTTAGTTGAATAGGTCAGGTGAACAAGAGAGAATATAAAAAAAAAGAAGAAGAAGGAAAAAGTACATTGAACAATTTGATTCGATCATCTCGCTGCCAGCCATCAAAGAGAAAAAAATCAGGTCTATTTTTTCCCACATATGACACTATTGAACTAATATAGAAAAAAAAACATATTACACTTAGTTCTATCTTTTATTTCTTAGATATGCTATGACCGATATCATTTTCGTTCTGATTGGTGTTACTGCTGGTACAGGATTATTACTTGGTTCAATACTAACAACCTATTGTTGTTGTAAACGATATTTTCGTAGTCAATTAACATCAAGTTCTCAACCATCTAAACAACAACAACAACAACAACAAGAACAAGAACACCAAGATTATCTTCATTCAGTAATTGTCAATCAACATATTGCTAGACACCTTCGACCAAATTCAACTATATCATTTATTAGTGATAATTATCATAATAATATGACTCTAATAGCATCACCTCATCGTTTGGCTATGCTTGAACAACAACAACGACAACAAGAACCAGCAACATTAGTCATTGAAAATCCATTAATTTCTCTATCATCTAATACAGGAGAACAAAAATCAACAGTATTAGAATCTTTTGTTTATGAAAATCCAACACTCGAATTAGGTGAATTGCCAACAACTGGTGCAATATGATACCAGATTAAAAAATTAGACTACTATGCTTTTCTTTTTCTTCTCTTGTACATACGAATGGTTGTTGTGCCGCCAGCAATTGCTGCTTTGGTACCCGTATAAAAATCATCAACTGTTCTTGTACCCATAAATTCCAATTCTAGATGAGTTTGTGTATCAATACCACCTGAAAATAATTTATATATGTAAAAATAAAAATACTAAATAAATAAATAAATAAATACCTGGCATAACAAATTTGCCTGTAGCATCAATTGTTTTTGTTCCAGTAGGTACAATAAGATTAAGACCAATTTGTCTATATGACAAAAAAAAAGTTAATTATTTTTATAAAAGAGTAGTTTTGATTATAACAACTTACTTGATAATACCTTCTTCGATGAAGACATCAGCAAACATTGTTCCATCATCATTAATTACTCGACCACCTTTAATTAATAGACGATGTTGTAAAGCCTAAAAAATAAAATAAAATATTAAATGAAATAATGATTTTATTGTAAATTAAAATTTCAATTATATACTTTGCTATTGTTTTTGTATTAAAATATGATACTATTCTTAATCTTAGAAAAAACAAATTCAGATCTACTTTCATTAGTTATTTCATTTTTTTGCTGATATAGAAGTAGTTTTAATATTAATTTCAAAGATAAGAATTTCGACTATTGAATAAGGTAAAGAGCTTGTGACTAAAGTCATTGTAGACTTTTACTATTGTTTTGTTTTTTTTTCGATTGAAAAAAAAAATGAGTACACAAATACAATTAAAAAAAAACCATATCATTAGCGGATTCCTTACTTTAGAGTTACTATTCGTATCTTGTGACGTTGATGGAATAACAGTAAAAACACTATTTACACTTCCTGGTCTCAATACTGATGCTGTCGAAGAAAGACAAGAAGATTGTTGTACATTTTTAATACAATAAAAACTCGATTTAGGATTTGAATTACATTGCAATTGTTCATGATCATGTTTTGAAGGAATAAAATGAAAACAAGCATTCGATGAATTTGTTTGTTCTTCAACGTCTGATAATGATGACGACATGTTGAGGTTTATTTTTTTTTCCTTCTGTCCTTGACTAACTTGAAGGATCTAGTTGGTTGATGTTACATTTCTGCTACCGTCGACGTCGTCACGAAGCACATTCTTTTTTTTCTTTTCCTGCTTTCTCTATGTTTTTCTTCGAATGTTCATCAATCTTGCTTTCTTTTTTGTTTTCCTATTTTGCTACTTTTCGTTCTGCTGAGGAATATTTATGATATCTTAAAAAGAAAAAATGACTGCGATCGAAGAGAAATGACATGAGTTTGACTTGATTCTCCTTAAATGGTTATTGGCAACAAATTGCTGAACTTTTTGTTCAAATAAAGGATGATATATAAACATGCTCTGAGTCATATAAAAGTGTACTTCAAGTAAGTAACGAATTGTGATAAAACTCTGTATTAATTTTGCTTTCAGTAAAGCATGAAAACAAATCATCGTGAAGACTAGATAGTTTTCTTGTTAGAAGGATCTCAAGTCTCTACTACAAAACTGTGTATAAATATTTGATTCATATTACTTACCGAAGACTGAAAAGTTTTACGAATATATTTGATTGGAAAAGTTCTCTGCAAGATTCTGGAATTTAGAAAGCAAAATCCATTTACTAAGAAATTTGGTCGTAGAGTTTAGGTTTTTTATCGAGTTGTTTAGCACTACGATAGAACATTGTGCAGAAGTAAATAAGAAAATTTTCAAGCTATTGGTTGAATTCGAAATTGACATTTTTCTAACGTTGTTTTGTTTACTAACGAAAAGTATTCATAATTAATAAGTGATTTCGAAAAATAAGATTTTTTCTAGTAATAGAAGTTAACAAAGCCCCATAGTGTATCTCCAATTAGAGTTTAGTAAGTCCTCTACAAATGCACACTATATAAAAGTAAATACTGTTTTTCTATTAGACATTATGAGAAAAACTTGTTTGGGCGTCGTAGAGGGAAAAATCAAGTTTTGAATAACACTGTTTTCTATAAAATCTGTAGTTTGATAACTTGAATATTTTAATCTCACTAGAAAGTTCGCATCGCGTTGATTATACTCAAACATAACATATCCCTACAAATTTAGAAAATCAAATGGAAGACAAATCGATCAAATGCACATTTCATCACTATAATTGTGTGTGAAATTGCAAAGCACTTTTTTCTGTCGAACATGTTCTTAAAACTTTTCAGTGTACACTAAGTATTTTGAACCAAATATTTTTTGGCAGCTTTGTAGTAGAGACTTTGCTCTTTGGAACAAGAAAACTATCAAGTCTCTACGATGATTTGTTGTCATGCTATACTGAAAACAAAATTAATACAGAAGTTTTGTACCATCTATTAGTAAATGATGGCCTTCTTTTGATTTTGGAAATTTAAACAAATCTTACATCTGTTTTAGGTGGCGATGAATTGTGATTGTTGTTTGTTATTGGCATTTTGTAAATGTTGAATTTCACAAGACAAAAAAAGAAAATCTAGAAAATTGGATGGATAAGAACATTGACTAGTTTAAAAACATTTGTGTGACTATTTGTTGCATACAAACAAATGTTCACTGATTAGTCAACGGTACACATTATTATGTATGCATGCATATATATCATCACGTTCTTCTTTTTTTTGTGTACACATGCTGATCAATGAACGGAAGTGTCATATTGAACTAAAGGATGAATGAATGAATAAACCTCTACGGACAGATCAGCATTCAATCGAAACTGTATTAAACTCCCTCCTATTCTTTTCTTTCCGAAGAAAGGAAAGAAAGAAGCAGAACAAAAGGTAATTCGAATGAGTCATCAATAACAATGAATGTAGACAAGTTAGAGAGACACTTGTATAACTATTCTATTCGTATAAAGATTGATTTACATCTAATCTTCTTATCATTAAAATTTTCACATAATAATAATAATAATCAATCAACCAAAATCTTACAACCTATATAATTGTTGCTCAGTATTGACTAGCGTCATCTATCAACTAGTATGTGATATTTCGTTTTTCGTTTTTCGTTTATAGTTTATTTCTTTTTCATTTCAAGATCATGTGCTAAATACATGATTCACTTTTTTATCACATCGTAAAATCTGAAAATTCTATTACATACAGATAAGTAGGCCAAATAGGTTCGTTACTAATTGGATTAACGATTCAGCAGCTTGGTTTTTTCTTTCTTTTTTTAGTGTCAACTAAAAGATCTCATTAATTGTATCTTAGTTAACTTTATTATTAGTAAGTGTATCAGTCAGAAATAAAATGCCATAAGGCATTCTTAATTCGTGTCGACGAGCGCAAAAATACAACGACTTCAAGTAAACTATATAATAAAAAAAATACTTTTATATAGAAAAACTTTTCTTTTCTTTTTCATTTAATTTCGAAAAAAAAACTTTTAGACTTTTAGTAATTTGAAACAAAACATCAAAATGTTTTATATTTCAGATTTTCTTTTAAATATTCATGTCTAACATTAGAGACTAAATGAATGATAAGTCAGTATTAATTACACCTGGCGGCAGTACATGTATTGATGCATGGCATGATGCATCAGCTGAAAATTCTACTAATACTAATACGAATAATTTACTATTGAAAGAAAATAATTATGAACACTTGTCATCTAAAGACATATTAATAGAATCAAAAAATAAATCTAATAATGGAACAATTAATAAGCGTTCAATGCAATTCAATGGTACACCTTCTGTTAATGTTGATCTTAATTTAGGTCCAGCATCTTTATGTTATGAAGAAAACGCTAAAAAAGAACGTGATAACTGTGATTATTCAATAAAAATTACATTAGATATGGCTAAAAATGATACAGCACCAAGAAAAATTCGTATTTTTGCTGCTGGTAAAAAAAAATCCGAATCTGTTTTCGTCGGTTTTTTTTATTAAATTAATTTTTAAAATTTAGGTATTTATGATTTATTTCATGCTGGTCATGCTCGACAATTAATGCAAGCAAAAAATTTATTTAAAAATGTTTATTTACTTGTTGGTGTTTGTAATGATGAAATAGCACATAAGAGAAAAGGTAAAACTGTAATGAACGAAGCTGAACGTTATGAAAGTGTTCGTCATTGTCGTTATGTTGATGAAGTTATAATAGACACACCATGGGTTCTTAATGATGAATTTTTAACACAAAATAAAATTGATTTTGTTGCACATAGTGAAATTTCATATAGAACCGAAGGTAGTGATGATATTTACCAATATATTAAAGTAAGTTATAGAAAAGATCTTATCCGATATTATGAATATTCACTATCGAAAATTCTGTATACTAACACGTTGATCGAAAAGTAATTAGATAAAATGTTCATTTCATTTTTCAGTCTTTCTCAAAAGCCTGCAGAAATTTGAAAACATTTTGTTAGAATTAGAATTTTGTATTCGTTTGGATTATGGGTTTAAAATTTTTGTATGACTCTTTTAGTTTAGGATTTATGAGTTGACCTTTTCGAGACGTGACAATTACGTTCGAACGAAGAAAATTGACGGTTTTTACTGCTTTAGTCTTCGTCATTGCTTACAGTATATTATCGACTTTTTTTGCATAGAATTAAAGACAAAATTGTTCCCTACAAAGTGATATAAGAATTAAGAATTTCAGGAATAGCCGAGCTCACTTTCCAAGTCTTTTTCCTATAGAAATTGAGAAGATTATCTAAATTGACACGATGTCCCGTAACCAAACACTCATTATTAGCAAATGACTTAGAGCTAACTAATCATTAAGATACCATTTTATTCTCTGTATTCGAAATAATTTTCGCTTCGGATTTGAGTAATTTTTTGGCATGCTTTAAAAGTTTGACTCATGACTTTTAAACCAGAAGTCCTAGAAAAATTTTGAAACATATATTCGAAAGGAACATAAAATTTTAATTCTCACTCAATGTTTTCAAATTTTTGCAGATTTCTTAAAAAGATTAAAAAAATGAATGAGAATTTCTTCTGCTTTCTTTTCAGAGTCAAACTTTTTATCATTTAATAGATTTAGTTCTATGTTTTCGAAAACGAATTATTCTATGAGAATCTTAGCAATAGCATGAATCTTGTTGTGTTTACATAGAAATCTGATGAAATATCACTTCAGATTACTTTTTTTGTCTTGATTTTGATTTAAGACTTGTCTAGAATTAATCCTAATGGAATTAGAGAAGATAAAGACCAGGAGGATTTTCTATTGAAATTATTACTTTGTTGTTAACCTAGTATTCATCTACAAATGAATATTTGTTTTTTTGTTGTTGAAATATTCAATTGTTGAAGAATGTTTATCGTCTCTATATTCCAGATACATTGACATATGTCGAAAATCTAATAAAATAATAATGACTCTCTCAATACGGTAAACTTGTTCTTATCGTTTCCGACATTCTCTGATTCCTAAGAGATTTGTAAATAAATTCAGAACAATCATTACAATTCTTATAAATAACTTGAAAGATTAATGCATGCTATCGTTTTTTTATATTTGACAATTATTAACAGTCATATTTTGACATTTGAAATTTTATCCAATCATTCAAGTATACGAAATTGACCCCAAAAAAAAATTATATTTACCAGAAATCTTCGTTAAGAAGAAAATTAAAAAAACAGTATAATTTCAGCCTGATATCAAGAAGTAATTATTATCGATAATTTTTGTTTTTCAGGCTCGTGGTATGTTTGCTGCTATTCAACGTACTGAAGGTATTTCGACATCTGATATAATATGTCGTCTTGTTCGTGATTATGATATATATGTACAACGAAATTTAGCTCGTGGTTATTCAGCTCAAGATTTAAATGTTGGTTTTATAAAAAAAAATCAAATTCAATTTCAATCACGATTTGATACAGTTACATTAAAATTTCGTACATATGTAGAAGAATCAAAAACATTTATGGAACGTTGGGAAGATCGAAGTAAAGAATATATACATTATTTTATTGATTTATTTGAACGTACACGTGTTTTAAATTTACTTAATCGAACACGATCCATAGGTGTATATTCTAATACTCATAATAAACAAAGTGATACAGAAAATGATGATATAATAACATTAGAAGATAATAATTCTAATAAAAAGAAATTGAAACAATAAACAGTGATTTCTAGTAATAAACATTACAGTGAGACAAACAATTAAGTTATTTATTTATATATATGTATATATATATATATATATATATATGTTTTATTTTGAATTATGTACAATTTTATTTTTTTAATCAAGAAATTTTGGTAGACCTATGTTTTTGTTTAACTCTCATATTATAATTCATTAATAAGGATATGTTTGTTTTTTCGTTTAATTTTTCTTTTATTTTCATACGAAAAAATCAGATGTTTTTATAATCCAATAAACGGTTTATTTTTGTGTTCTGCTATCGTATTGTGTTTAATTGAATGAAATGAATACTGTTATTTTAAAAAAACACAGGTGACGAAGAACTATTTTCTTTTTTCTATGATAGAATCATGACGGGAACAAAAAAAAATGTCATAGCCATATTTATTCGGTGTGAAATGATTAGCACTTGTTAGAGAAATGAGAAAGAAAAAAAAAGTATGTGATCAAACAAATAGGATGACGGCATAGCACAACACGGCGATTATGGCATAAATACCAAAAAGAATGTCGCTACGATTATTATTTGATGCTGAATAACCTAGTGTGAAGAAAGGAAAGGAAAAAAAAAATAACCATAATTACCCAATGTGTTAGGATTAACAAAAGTAAAATTCACTGACACTGTTGGTGGCTCGTTTCGCATTATTTATTCTATTCATAGTAGTATGTACTTATATTCTTCTCTTGTTTCGTTTACATGAAAAGAATATATAATGAACATTATTTCAGAGAATTTTTTAGGATATTCCGTATAAATTCATATGACAAATAACATAAAAAATAAATGAATACCATAGAATGAAGAAGAAATCCATTAGTTATGATCCGACATGTTTATTTAAGTGCTTGTCATTATTTTTTCTAGTTTCTGTTTATTTTTCTACCCATAAATTGTCCATTATACAAATAAATATGTGTTTTCGCTGTATTAAGGTAAGAGATAATATGATTATCTTGTAAAATTGTATAGGTTTTTTTCTCGATAAGAATTAAATTTTTATAGAGAATACTGTTAGAAAGCAAATGATTTCTCTTAAATAAATACTTTTCTATAGAAAAGAACAAAAGATTTTATTTAACAAAGTTTTAATTGCAAACATTGATTCATTTCAATAATTAAAACTTGTTTGTTTTTATCATAAATTGTCAAGTTCGAATCTTTATTTTTTTAAATTACACATGGTTCTAACTACGTTTCCCGTGTTTAACTGTTATTAAATTACGGATATCACACACGCTCCGAAGTTTTGACTGGTTATAATCACTAGGAGGAGGGGCTCTTTTCTTTTTCAATTTTTATAAGCATTTTCAACATGATTCTTTTTACTAAGATCAACTTAGACCTTTCCTTAAAATTTGATTTGTCAAGGTAAATGAGTGTGCGTCAAAGATTAAATGAAGAAATTGGTAGAGGTAAAAAATATACTGTAATATAATACGACAGTGCTCTTACTATGTCTCTCAAAAAATTTGTCTTTTCTTATTCAGTCCTTAGTTTCTTGTAGTATCTTAATAAGACATAGGATATGGGTAAGAATCTTTTATTACTTTCCTATACTACTGAAGAAGATACAAATCAACTATAGATACGATTGTACTTATGTGAATAAGATAATCTTTTTGTTATATTGTACATTGATTTGTTTTATTTTATTTCTTAGGGTGATAAAAAATTCATTTAAATACAAATATAATAATCGTAATACTTCTTTTTGCACGTGGCAAACAATTAATATTAAATATCTTCATTCATATAAATGGAGAAACGTATTCATTCAAAGAAAACACATAATCTTACTTATCGTCATTATTTATATCATTTTAAATGGCCTTTAGTTGGATTTATTTTCCTATTAAGTTTTCTTACATTTATTCAAATGAATTTAACAACTATTTTTGTATCAAATACTATTCAAGAACAGCAACAGATTGAACAATTCAATAGAAATGTTATCTATCCAATTGATATATTAAATAATAATAACAGTGTTAATATAAATTATTATTTTTTAGAAAAAGATAAACTTAAATTTATCGATGATACTCATGCAGTCAATAAAAAACAAAAAATTATATTACCATTAATAAAAGATCAAAGCACATCGAAGTCTTATTTAATTCTTGAATATACACATGTTTTTGGGCAGCCACGATTTTGTTCACATACAAATGAACAAATTTTTGGTAAAATATGTCCATATACAAATTGGTAAGCACAATAAAAGAAAAAATGAATAAACCAAAGAAACGATTTATTTTCTTATTAGTGAATATACATGTGATCAAACACATGAAAATGATACTCATGTACTTTTAATGCATAAACGTGATTTAAATTATAAAAAACTGAATTCAATGAAAAGAAATTTCGAACAAATTTGGCTTTTATGGCATGATGAACCAAATGAAAATTCACCACAAATAAATCAATTTAAATTTAATTGGACAATAACATATCGAACAAGTGCTGAAGCGTCAATAGGAGCTTATGGTATGACAATTGTTAAAGAAAATCCATGGTCTATAGAACAATTCAATTCATGGATTGATGAGCAATTTATTAAAAGACATAACCAAGCTGTATGGTATGTCATTCATTCTATTTCTTAAAATAACAAATAGAAACTTCGCAAAAATTCTGCGGGATAAATGATCTTTGTGGAAAATATCGAAATAAAAAAGTTCCAAAAGAAAAATGTCGAAATGATGAATCTTTTCCTTGTAAACAATGATAAAACCTATGTTTTAATATTTTAGAATGAAAATGACAAGAGAAAATTGACAATATAATAAGATCTTTTTTTTCTTTTCAATTAACAAATGATATGCCTAACAATAACTCTTTTGCATTGATTTCCTTCTTGAAAAAGGTGTGGGTGTGGAGATATAGATGAAGACAACAGACCCACACCCTCAAGACCAAAAACAACAGTTTTATTACTGACATCTTTAAAATTACTCAATATTCCTGTTTTCGATATTTTCGTCTTTCGACGTTTTTCGCCAACATCGGATAAACACTTCATGAGAAATTCTATGCATTTTAATAATTAAAACAAGTCTTCTAATGATAAGGTTGTATACATACTGTTAACATGTTTTTTTTTTCAGAAGGAAACCAGAACTAATATGTTTTAATAGCAGAACGCGGGAAATAAATGAATATTAGTTTGGACTGTGTGAACTATTTTTTCTTGAATTTTTTATTATATCAGAGAGTTTACTTATCAAAAACAAAAGAATAATGTTTGCTATTAAGAGTTTGATTCGATAAAGTCATTTTAATTAAGAATAAAACGAAAATAAATTCGAATTCGATTAATTAATATTTAATACAAAAAATTTAAAAAAATGTATTCTTATTTATTTATTTGTAATCTTCAGGTTTGTATCAAATTGTCAACCACAAAAGCGTTTGAAAAAATTTCATTCACTTCGACGTTTTTATTCAATAGCTGCTTTTGGTAAATGTATATCATCAAATGAATCATTCTCTCTCAATGCTCAAAGTCAATCGGATTCAAAATGTCATCGCCAATCATCATGTGAAAAAAATTATTTAACAAAATCAAAATTTTATCTTGCATTTGAATCTCAAACATGTACAGATTATATAACAGAAAAACTTTGGCGTACACTTGCTCTTGGTGCTATACCAATTGTTAGTGGACCCGAACGTGAAAATTTTATGCGTATAGCTCCACCTCATTCATTTATTCATATTGATGATTATACATCAGATAAACAACTTGCTCAAACTTTAAATTTTATAGCTACAAACAGAAGTTTATATGAAAAATATCATCATTGGAGACGTTATTATGATGTTTATCATGAAGCAAAAGATCTTGATCCATATCGATTTTGTGAATTATGTTATCGTTTGAATACAAATAAACAACGTATTTGGTATGAAAATATTAATGACTGGTTTTTAGATAAATGTTAAATTGATCTTAATGATATTTTAATCTTTTCTGTCAGATATAAGACTTTCGTATTTGTATTGCCTTGTAGTTCATTTGCTTGGTTACATGAAATGACTTTAATTGTCAAGTTTTTTTTCTTGTGTGTGATACAATATACATTTAAAATCACTATGTGGCAATTTTGAATGACTTATCTATTCTGTAATATTAAGTTTTTTTTTCTTTCTCGAAATGTGAATTAGAATTTACTAATATTGATTTCATATTTCGCCGAAATGCAATTATTACATATGACATCCAGTATTCTATATCGTATGTATTGTAGTGTACCTCAATTGAATTTCTTCCCTTTGCATTTCTTGGTTTAGACTATGATAGTTTGCTTTCTTTTCGATAATGGGTATACAGCAAGAAAGTGCAGACTTCACTACATTGCATGATATATCAATCATAAATAACAAATAGAGATCAAACAACAAAAAATACATTAGAGCAAAAATATAAGATTTTTATCTTTCCGTTGTTTTTGTACATATTGATTGACATAAGTTCAATTATTGTTTGAATATTCCTCAGTTCATTTTCATAAACCTGTCTATCTGACTAATAAAACGTAGTAACGGCATATTATTAATAGAAATTCTGAAAAAAAAAATCCATTTTCAAATTGGTGCATATTTTGTGACATCATGGATCGAGGTCCAAACAAACATTAAATTTGTTTTCTGTTTTGTATTTATTTTAATTGGCAGATAAACTAATTCATCTATCATTTATTTATTTCGCACAAAAAATACAGTGAAGCTTTCGACCTCTATTAAAGAGTCATTTTCTAAAATACAATGTACAAATTTCTTTCATGTAACTTTAATGTTGGAAATGACCCTTTAATAGAGTTCGAAAGCTTCGCTGTATTTTTTGCGTAAAATAAATAAATGATAGATGAATTAGTTTATCTCGTAATTAGTTTATTCACTTATATTTCATCAAACAACATAAGTATTTTAAAACGCCTCACCACCAAACATGGTCAACATATATTGAAAGAGATTAGACTGTACGATGAACAATTTCTCAAATTATTGAGAGCTCAAAGTGATACTGAATTCTTACGTATCTCATTATTATATAACCTTACAATAAAATTCGTACGTTATCGTCTATGGAATCAAAAATACGCTCGCAACTCAATCCACAAATATCATCAGTAGAGCGCTACGATTCCAAAAAAAATAGAACCGAGAATCGGATTTTTCTCTTTCTCTTACCCGGAACCGGAATCGGAACCGTGAAATAAAAGAGAATGGAACCGGAACTGTTAGAAATCGAAATTTTTCTTGAGAGCGAGAGTTTCAATGTGTGTAGACGTTGCAAGATGCACATTATAGCAGTACCTTTCTTCATTTATCCATGAAAAGTTTTCGTAGTAATCCTGGTTTTCAAGAAAAAGTTCTTAAGTCAGTTAAAATGGAAATTATTAAACGGCAGCCAACAATACTATCTACTACATTTACAACTACTACTCCATCACCTGTTTATAAAAAATCACTTGATTCTTAATGGACAGTATCAAAAGGTCCTCTTTCTTACTGTTTTGATATACCATAAAATTCCTTAACATTGTCAACAACAACGTATGAATTAGATGAATATATGCCATCAAATGTTTCATTCAGTGGACATAATGATGTTTTATAATTCCGCAACAACAGAATTTAAAATTACCGATCTTATTTTCTATAGCTGAAAATTTTTATGCTCTACAAATATCGAACACCATTGTAAAAGGACTGTTCTCGTCTGCATAAAACACAAGTATCGATAAGCGCATCGATCTTGGTGCAGAAAAAATACTCCTATTGTTATTTTTTCAGAAAAATTTAGCATTATTAAAATCATGTGATGAAAAAAATTGATGAAGTTGATGCAACTGCATCGAAAAGAAAGATGGTTGAACAGTCATCGTCTACAATCTCCTGTTCGAACTAAATAACAATCTACAACTACAACAACAAAAAAGACGTTTGGAATGAGTAACGAAGATGATATTATTCTTTGTGATCATGATCATTGAGAGGATAAGGACATGATGAAGCGGGTGTTTTTTAGAACTTGTAATATTAATATTTCATATGAATATATTGTATGTTAGTGTTTTATCTCATTATTTGACTTTTTCTTCTACCTTTTGAAGGAGCTACTTATTTGATGAAGTAATAAACATGAAGAGTTCTGAAGATAAAATGTAGAAATTTCTAAAAAAAACTCAATTACTCGTATTTTGTATGTTACGGTGAAATCGTCGATTTCTGGCAAATATTTTAGGAACTGAAAAAAGAACCGCTTTTTTTCGATTTTGCTAACCGAAACCATAGGGCTCTACTTCCTTTGAAAGTTCCTTACTACGCTCTTGAAGACCACAGCATTTATTTAAAGAATACAAAAAAAGTCCAGTATCTTTCCAGCAATAAGCTAAGGGCACAAACGTTTATCACGATCCTCATAGTTCATTTGAGTCTACACAATGTCCATAATCTTGATTCAAAAGCGATTGAACAATTGGATGACTTCTCTCGTGAAAAGATAATGATGATGAGATTAACCTAGAAATTTGTTTTAAAAGAGATATCATAAATAAATTACTTGAAGAAGAAAATCTTTATTCAGTTATGATGCTGGTAAAACTTTCCTTTTCAAGAAATTTGAGTATTTTATAATTGTTATTGTGTATATTAAATAAATTTCTTTCAAACTAAATTTTCAATTTTCAATTACAAATTTCTGTAATCAAAATGTTCTAGAGTTTATGTAGTTTTAATCGATGAAAGATATCCTTCGATTGAATCATCCATATTTTTAGTCCATTTTATTTGACATGGTGGTGCTTCATTATATGGAGGAAAAATTGAAGTAAATGTTTGATCACGAAATGTAATAAAATCTTCTCTTTTATCATTGAAGAATTTATAGAATCCGGCCTTAGCTCGTTCAAGATCAAATTTTGGTACCGTATTTTGGTCACAACAACTAACAATATCACGTATATAATCTGTTTGAAGGTCAGTAAAACCTTCATGATCATTTGCAGCAATTACTTGTTCACGTGCTTGCCATTGAGAAATATCTTCTTCACGTTTTTTTTCATCATCATCATCTGGTAATTTAACATAACCAAGAAAAACATCACGTACAAGTGCAGCTTGAATATCAAACATATTTAATGAATATGTTTGATTTTGCATACCTAAATAAGCAAGACGAAGTTCAGCAGACCAAAAAATTCCTTTATAAAGGTTCGATGGTATAAACAAATTTCCTGAACAATAAAGACGAAGAGGTTCAGCCATATAAGAATGATTATGTCGATAACCTGTACATAAAATAATACAATCAATATTGTCAACACTTGTTCCATCTTTAAAATATGCAGTATGTCCTTCCATTCGTATTAACATTGGAACTTCTTTTATATTATCGGGCCATTTGAAATTCATAGGAAATGAACGATAACTAATTGTAATTGAACGAGCACCAAATTTGTAACATTGTATACCTATATCTTCAGCTGAATAACTACCACCAATAATCAATATATTTTTATCAACAAATTCATCAGCTCCACGATAATCATGTGAATGTAAAACGCGTCCTGGAAATTTAGAGATACCTTCAAAATTAGGTACATTTGGTAGCGTATAATGTCCAGTTGCTACTATAACATGGTCGAATGTTAAATGTTCAAGTATTTTTTCATTAAGAAGATCTTGAATAGTAACATGAAATTGTTTTGTATTAACATCAAAATTAACAAAACGTACAGCTGTTCGAAAACGAATAAACTTGTGAATATCAGCAGCTGTAGCTCGACCAATAATATAATCATACATAATAGCACGTGGTGGATAAGACGAAACCGCACGACCAAAATGTTTTTCGAATGGATAATCAACATATTCAAGCATTTCTTTAGGGCCATTTGTCCAAAGGCTAATAAGTAGAAGTTCAATAGAAATAATGATAAAATTTCAAAGAACTTACTGTCGATACATGCTTGAATGAATAAGTTCACCACAAGGATCTATACCTGTTAGAGCTGTATATTGCCATAGACCACCCCATTCTGCTTGCCGTTCAAAACAGATAAGTTCAATACGTTGTTCTTTTTCGGCTTGTTTAAAAGCAATTAATTGTGATAAACCACATGGACCAGCACCAATAATAGCTATTCGTTTTTTAGTTATGTTCGCCATGAATATTGTTTTTGTGTCTTGTGAATCTATCTTAATAGACTAGTTTTGTTGTTCTTTTATCGACTATGTAATAGTATAAAACACATCAAGTGGCTGTAAACGTTTCTCTTATATTTTAAACTCTTATCTATTTTATTGTCCGTAAATGGAGAACAAAATAAATTTTACATCCATGTTCTGACACCAATGTATTTCTTGCATATACATGATGTTTCTATTGATATTGTTTTAATATACCTATGAGCATATTAGTTGAAGTACACACTCTGTCACCCAATTGACGTAAATCTGTTATACTTTCATCGTAGTGATGCTTTCTTATCACAATATAATATTTACAAATGATGATAAGAGATGACATATTATATTCAGAATTACGAAGTTTAGTTTATACTATTATTATTTATAAAAGAGAATAAATCGAGAAAGAAAACAACTGTTGATATAAATTTTGTTATTATCGTAAACAATATGAACATAGACATCGGGACGATTCTAATCTGGTGAAGGGTAAAAAAACAACAAGAACACATAAAGAATACTAGAGATTTTTAGTTTTAATTTTTTAACTTTGACTCTTATTAAATCGATATTTCTGCATACATTTATTTTTATACCTCTAAATTGATGAAAAAACAATCTACTGTACTCGTAATTTTGAATACAGTCTAAAATGTCCTCGACTTTTCATCCTCGTAAAAAATGTCCTTCAGAGCACATGTTCTTAATGAAAACATCCTTGAGAAGTGGTCTCTCGTTAAAAAAATGTCTCTGACACTCAATTGTTATTTAAATATCACGTTATTTGAATGTAGATGACGCTGTAATCCAAAAACAGGTCAGCAGATATTTTTATTATTTATCTAGACAATTTATTTCATATAAAAATAAGGTTGGGCCGTCTGGGTGGGTATATGTGGGTGTACAGGCATGAGTGAAAATAAGATCCACACCTCATGCTCATATGTATACTCCATACCGTCCCACACTCATACTCTGTTACATGGATCTTTTTTGTGTCACGAAGGAAAAATGAACTAAAATTCAGTTCGTTATAATAAATTATACTATATCATTAATATTGTCGTCAACCGTAGCTCGCGTTTTACAGAAAGGACATTTTCATGTTAGAAGACATTTTTTCGGTGGACTATATCACTAAGGACTATTTCTCAAGGACAAAAAGTCGAGGACATTTTTGAAAGGACATTTTTTTAGAATGTGTTAACCTGTTACCGTAATTTTTTATCATAGAATTAATATAAACATAAAAACCTTAATCTAATCTACAGCAAATAGAAAATTTTGAAAAAAGAATCAGAGTAGATATAGTTCAAATTCAATTTATGTAATTTTTTTATAAATATGAAGAATAATAACATGGTTTAATAATGCATCATATGGTTAATCGTAGATACCTGTGTTTGATTCATAAGAAATATATCATGTGAAGCTGTTCAACTGGCGCTTGAACCTAAAAAAGATTACTATTTGTGTATTTGAAATTTTTCGTCACAGTGAGATAAAAAAAAGAAATAAAAGTCTGATGTTTAATAATCAAATTTTTTCAATACATATAGAATAAATTCATGTTTATGTAAATACTATTTAATGTTCTGATTAACGTATGCTTTAGTCGAAATGAGACAAACTTTGGTCAAAGAGTTTTGACTAACTTCATATAAATTCAAGATAAAACTATAAAATTTTCTCAACTGTTCAAACCGTCTGAACCTTTTCTCTTTTTTTTGTTTCTACTCAAGACGCATCTTTTGATAAAAGAAATGTGGATTATAAAGTACTATCAAGATTCCAAAAACTCCATAACAATGTTGCTTAGTATACATTATTTTTCAGTATTGTCATAAAAATGTACATGTCGATTTTTTTATCAAAATATTGACGATTTTCGAGAAAGTCTTAATTGTTTGATAGAAATTCTAGAAAGTCATTGGAAATACGATCAAAGCGTCGCCTTCTCACTTCTTTTTCTAGTAATAAGATTAAAAAAATGAATAAATACTTGGTTCAAAATATTTCGTGTTGTATCGTTTCTTAGTTATAATTCAGAAATATTCATTGAACTTAAGATTTTACTAATGATATATTATGGAAACAAGGTGATTCTGGATGCAGTGAATATATCTGATATGGTTTTTTTTGTAGAAAACTGTAAGTATCTATAATCATAATATTCATATTATGATTATAAATTATTATTCGATGCATTCGTAGCATTTTTCTTCGATTGATATACATATTTGTATCGCTATTGTACCATCATTTGGTTTGTATTCGATAAATATTTACATAACTTTTTCGAATGATTTCATATTGACAGTGCATGGTTACTTATCAATTACATGATAATTACATATTTCTTCTGTCTTTTGAATAAATCAGCATATCAATGGCTGAATGATTGGCACCAAAAGCATGAATTTTTTTAGTATCTATAATATCTTCATATACATCATTATGATGATCAACTGTGTATCAGTTCCATATGATAATTCAATTCTGCTTTGATTCAATTCTCTTTTTAGCATGGGTTTGATATTTGAAGTGGTATATTTATTTTAGTTCTTCTTTTTATAATCAAGTGGAAGTTCTAACAGGTGGATTATTACTAATCTTTATCAATATTACTTTTATTGTTTCTGTAATAGTTTCACTGATGGTTACTTTTTTTTATTAGTGTATCAGTTTTATAAAATGAAAACTATCTGTAACATAAACTTGCAACTGCCAAATATTTATTTTTTTCTGATATCTTCCCTATCTATACTTTTAATCGAACGCAAACTATTGTTAAATTACGTTTGACTTGGAAAATGCAATGACAAATATTTATAAAGAAAGTATTACTTCGTGGAAAAAGTGGCACAAGTTAGTATACAATGAGATTTTCCAGTAGTTTACTTAATTATACACTGTAATTTAGGTATCTTCGCATGGAGAACAAACAAGTTTTAGGCATCTACTCGGATCTTCACGAGAAGTAAAAGATTAGTTTTCCATCTCAACTCGAAAATCTTTTACTTTGGACTGGTTGTTATGATATAAAACCAAACAATTTAGACTTTCTCGAAAATCGTCAATATTTTGATAAAAAATTGACATGTACATTTTCATGAAAATACTAAAAAATGATGTATACTAAGCAACATTGTTATGGAATTTTCGGAACCTTGATAGTACTTTACAATCCACATTTCTTTTATTAAAAAATGCGTCTTTTGTCACTTCATAAAATCATATAAAATTTATCTTAGACTCTTAAAAATTAACTGCATAACACAAGCAAAGAAGAATAAGAAGAAAACGTGTAAAATAGTCCAAAAAATGGTCAATTTTACTTATTACAATGGATTTTTTCGTTTTACAAGATAAGTAATGACTTATAGAAAATATAGGATTTTGTAGAACACCTTCCACTCTATCAATTGATACAATTCGATAATGGTTTTAATGACATTTTTATGATGACAAAGTTCATAAACAAAAATGATCGAAAAGCCATAGTTTTTGACAAAATGATAGTTTGAGTGAAGATTATGAGGTCCTCGAAGTATTAGAAGACGTTGTCGAAACATTATCAAAACTATGGTTTTCTGAGTCACTTTTTATGTCCTCTTTTCCAACTAGCACACTGATTTGATAACTTAAAATATTTTAGCAATTTGTTTGGATGTTGATTTCATAAGCCTTCTGTTGACGTTTCATTTGATAAAGATTAACAAGACAATAGAAAAAAAATCCATATTGATTCTTTGGCTTGCATATTTGGTTGTTATAGTTTTTTCTGCTAAGGAGATGTTCAATTCCGCCAATAGAATGAATTCACGGAAATAATTCTTATTCTCTAGAGCATTGAATTGATTGGAAAAAATGACAACTAACAAATAAAAAATAGAAGATATGTACATAACTAACGGAAATAGAAAACTGTTAACGTAAACAAGAAAATACTTTAATTATGAGACAAAACAATACTGAATTAAAGAAAAACAAAGCAATTATTAAATATTATGCTGTCGTCATTGATGAAACATTAACCAGATATAATTGTATTTGTCTACATAAACAATGATTGATTTCATATGTAAACAAATATGATATAATAATGCATAAAAATTCGATAATTAAAAATAACAGAAGTATTAAACAAAAATGAAATTTATGACAGAGAACTTCATTGATTCAGTTTGATATTTCTTGGTTTTTTTTTCTTTTTCATTGAAAACTACCACTAAACAAATGTACTGTCTTGTTGTATAAACTTTTTTGAGCATTGAATGTTTCACTAATTTGATGCATAAAGAAGACAAATAAATTTGCAATTACGAGGAAAAGTCAAACAGCCGTTGTTTAAAGCCATAGGAGTATAGTGCATCATAGAAACAGTAATAATCTTATGAATATATCGGACTTATTGAATGACTTGTCAAAGAAAAAAAAAGATGAGAGAATGAATGAATCATTCAAGTCAAACAATTTATTCATATTTGTACCAGATAAAGAATTGCTAGTTTGTTGATATTCCAACATATCATACAATGTTGTAGTTATTTGAACTACTTTTTATCATTTATAAGAAATATAATGATGTAAGCCTTTTGTAGACGTGATGCTTTCTTTGATTGAAATTATTAAAATCGAACTCAATAACTTTCCACAGACATGAGTAATGCAGACGTGCATGGATTATGTTATTCGCTTCCTTTTACGCATAAGAGAATTTATTTCGACAATTTGACACGGTTATAAAATTACTCAACGTTTTTTTTTTAACAGTAGAAAACAGGCGTATCATTATGTAACCAAATACGATAAACTAATAAGAAATTGTACACAACGTTTTTTTAACTTTTCTCTCAATATTTTAAATTAAATTTTTCCTTATATACACCATCAACAGTGTAAAACAAAAAGTAGTCCATAATTGAAATCACGGACGTGGAAATCTAATTTACATGAACATCATCGTTTTTTTTTTCTAAGAGCAAGTAATATGAAGAAAAACAAAAATTTTAGTAAATACTGATACAAAAACAAATAAGATATTGTTTGAATGTATTACCAATAAAACTGTATATCTTAATATATAGTCTTTATTATCGGTTTTTTTTTCTCTCAAATAATTTTCTTTTAAAGTAACAATATCTGTGTTATTTTACTATTTAAAAAGCAAGAATAAATGAGTTTATAAGTGTATACTTGTGACGCGTAGCGGCATACAATTAGTAGCAAGACAACATAATTAGCTTCATTCTCCTCTGTAAACTTTATATATATTTTTTTCTTATTATTTTTAGAAAGAGAATATCCCTATATAAGACACTTTCATCCACCTTCATATAGTTTCATTTCACCGTGTAAGTATAATATGTCTATATCATATATAGTAGTCATTTAAGAAATCAAATTAACTTTCAATACTATCGAATCAGATAAATATGCCTATGAAATTATCTGATCAACCTCATGATTTATCTTATTATACGACATGGTGGTTAACACCAGAACCTTCGATATCACCTCAAACTACAACATTATCTGATTCAGATGATAATATACTTGTAAATGAACATGGAAAAAAACAAGTAAGTTTTTTGTAAAAACATGTTTGAGAATGAAACAATTTCTTTTTTCATTTAGAAAACGACTATCAACGAAATAACATTAACATGTTGTATTCCAATGAAAACATGTCGATCAAAATAGAAAAAACAGATTTCATTATTATTATTTCGTTAAATAGTTTATTGTAAAAAAAAACCGAAGAAGAGAAATGAATAAAAATATTGTAAAGATGTATAATTTTATTCCAGCTAAGTACTTGAAAAATCAAAAGAAAATTACATTAAAATAATGAAGCATACATATATAAATCGATGTATTTCAATTTCCTTAATAAATATGAATATAACGATTAATTTCGTATCATAATTTTAATTAAAAAATCATTTTTATTGAATGTATTTGATTAAAATGTCTATTTTAATCAGTCATATTGAAATAAGTCAATTTTTGTCCATTTCATCATTTGAAATGCCATTTTTTTCATGTTTTTCATCGTATCCATGAAAGTCATGACACGTTGTTGGTGTTTTAATTCTGTAGGAACACTTTTCACAACCCAAAAATTTTCAAAATCAACAACAATTGTTGCCCTATAATGTTAGAAAAGAATTTGAAAGAAACTCTTTCTATAAAAAGCAAAATTATTTACCAAAATTGAATTTCTTCTTGACTTGTTATTGATGTTGGTTTTTTCCATGTTAGTTGAAGTTGTGTCCATTTTTGAGGTGAACTATGAGTTATACCATCACCCTAAAAACAAATCTGTATTTTAACAAGATAAAAACAAAAGAATCTTTTTCACAAACAGTTGAACAATGAACAAGATGTGTTTCTGATGGAATATTAACAAATGTACCCAGTGGCTCATTACCATTTATTCTTCGACCTTGTATAAATACGCCTTTCATTGGTTGATTTGATTCGATTTGAACTAAAACAATTTCAAAAACAAACAAAAAAGAATGTTGTTTTATTAAAAAACAAATCTCTTTACTAGATATTGTTTCACTATCAGGATTCCATGCTGTATTAAAATTTGTTATTGGACTTGTTTCTGGTGGTTGTGGTGCAAGATGATGATGATGAGGTATCATAGAACCGATACATACTTTTTTTGGTGCACCATTAGGATATCCATTGATTTGAATAGTTAAGAGAAATATAGCAAGAACAACAAGAATACGAGTCATGGTTATATGAATAGATAAATGAAAAAATACTAGTTATTTATACAGACATGTGATGATGATAAAAAAATGAGAAGAATTTATGGTTCAAGAGATTATTTGTTATCTTTTTTTCTTTCTCTTCTCCCTTCTCTCTCATACATATATATGTGTATATGTACTCAGGTCAGTAAATATGGAGTCCATATCTTCCTGTAAATGATTGTATTTTACTGTATTGCACGACCCAACCGTTCGATCATATATCATCGTGACCGTATACAGCTTCCATGAACGAAAAGAATAAAAGAGCACTTTTTGTTACCATCTACGACATGGAAATATACGCTCGTAAAAACACTGTGACATATATGTCGTCGTATTTCTCCGTACATGGTCGTTCATAACCATGTCAGCTTGACCTTGGTACTTGCATATGAATTGATTTATTCAGAAAAAGAATGAGCTAGAAGTAACAAAACTTGTATACATATATAGATAGATCAATGAAAAAGAAAGATCAACAAAATATGAAAGAGAAATGGAAAGAAATCGAGAAATTCAAATAAATTTAGTGAATGCTATACATGCTCTATCATATTGTAACATACTTCCATGTTAAAGAAAAAATGTGTCCTATCAGCATTTTTGAAAACGATAAAGATACGAGCATAAGTGATACCATTGTATGAAGAGAAAAATAACGAGCTGTGACAAATTATAGTAAGAAAAGAAAACCTAAAAACAATGAATACATACATGTAAAATGAAGCAAATGCAAATCTAAATGTAACCAAGCAAAACGTGTTCAACAATTGTGATAAATGACAAAAACATCTTGAATATATCGGTTTAACATGTCGAAACGTATATAAACGAGATGATAGAAGTATAAGAAAAAATGAAATTACTGGCAACATTAACTTACGATGTAATATCAAGTAGCATTTATGAATGAGAACAATCAACAATTTAATTAACTAAGAGAGCCAAGTATTTTAGACAAATAGATTTCGTATACGAGATTGACATTAACTGACCATATTGATTAGAAAAAGTTAAGTGTTTCTGATCACCCGGGAAATGAACATGATTAGAATTGACCCAATCATAGCTAAAAAGAATTGATGCAATTAAATTTACTGTTACATAAGTGATGGGAAAAGTTTGTATATGTTTCACTTGCATCTTTTATTCAATTTGTTCGATTATATTAAGAGATATTTAGTTTGTTGTTTGACATGTATGTTTTTTCAAAATGAATTCACTGTGTAGGATGGTTTTAACAAAAATCTGCATCTATAATTAAGGTGACAAATTCCATATCTCTCATTGCTTCAGTTAGTTGGTTATTAACAAGCGATTCAATGTAGATGGGAGCAGATAATGTCGATCGCTTAGTAAATTTACTCGGAATGTTATCATTGCTTGACTCAGTTAGTGGAAATTCGAAGATATTTTGTAATTGTAAACAATATGACTCAGACCATAATTAAAACAGGCGACTCTCAGGTGTCGGAAATGTAAAATTAAAGCAGAGTTTTGTTTTCTTTGCTTTACAAATGGCTAGACAGAGGATGACGAACTGAACAAGAAGATATGCGTTCTCAAGTTTTTAGAACGGTTTTTTAAGAAGAAAATTTTCAGCTTTTTCAAATGATCGGCTTTTTCTGAAAAACAGGTCAGTTTTTAACAACCGACAAATTTTCAAGTATTTCATTTTCTTTAAATTTCAAAACTGTTTGCTTCAAATTTAGCGTAAAACATTGAAGATAAAAAACTCCTTCATAAATGAGTTTTTTAGTTTCAATATTTTACGCTTAACTTGAAACAAACAGTTTTGAAACTTAAATGAAGTAAAATACTTGAAACTATGTTGGTTGTTAAAAATTACCCTATTTTTCAAAAAAAAATGAGTCATCTAAAAAAATTGAAAGTTTTCTCTTAAAAAGTCATTCCAAAAACTTGAGAACGCATATCTTCTTGTTCAGCTCGTCGTGCTCTATCTAACCATATATAAAATGAAGAAAAACAAAATTCTGCTTTAATTTTGCATTTACGGCATCTTATATTTGAGAAAACAATCAATTGTTCGATGGTTTTTTTTTTCGACCATAAATTTTTACAATTGCTAAATTGATGTTAAAATATTGATTAACTAATAATCTGTGTGTTGTTGTAAAATAGTGTTTGTTGTGGATGATGTCGAATGCGTTTATCAGATATTGTTGATATTTGGTTTCTCAGTGAAGGTGCTGAGTTCCGTTGAAAAACTGTTATCGAAATAACCCTTGATGATTCTGCTATCATTTCATCATCTTAATCACATTATGCTTTGTCTTCTATGTGGTGTGATCATCTTTCGATAATCTCTTCATTCTACGTATGGCATAATCATCGTTATATATGTACTATTATTCGAGATATAGAGTGATCCTATAAGTTCATATACCAACACATATAAATACACACATTTTCTTGTTTTTTTTTTCTGTTGTTGGACCTATGCGTCTTGATTCTTTTAATAAACTATGTAACAAATGCTGACAAAAATGAATCTCTGTGTATGTGTAAGATGTGAAGCGCGACCACTCTGTCTCATATAATAATAATGTCATTTTGGTTGTTTAACCATGTCATAGTCGTTATTGAAGGAATTTATGAACAATTAAAATCAACGTAAGGTTATTATAATTCGAATGATAAATTAAGAAATTTTTCGAAAGTATCATATAAATTTGATGTACCTTTTCCACATTTTAAAAAGTCATTGAATATATTCATAGACGATTCACGTCTCGAGAGTTCTTTACTAATATCAAGATTTAGTCCACTCAACACATGTTGCATAATAATTAAGCCTTTGTCAATAACGGTTGATCAAATTAATTAATTTCTTTTATTAAAGAATGTTCAAATTACTGTAGAATTAGATTGTGATAATTTGTGAAACAATTAATTAGCAATGATAATATGAAGAAATTATTTTTTTATTATTTTTCTCAACTTGAGATCTTGTTCCGGTAACCGTTTTGAAAACCTTATGAATGAAATCATAAACAATGAATAAATGGTAATGAACGAAATTTTTCTTAGAAAATTCTGATTGTCATTTATATGCTTCAATCGAAAAATTAATAATTTATTTGTTTTAATCCCTCTGTAGTTGTCGAAAGAGAACATTTTTTTATTGGAAAAATATCTCATGATTTTATAGATTTCAAAATAAAAAAGCGGTTTAACTCGAAAATCTGTGATGTTATTTGAATCAGTCATTTTATTTATATAGAAAAAATATATTTATCTATTAATTGAAAATAATGGTGCTGCATTCCGAATAATGTAATTGGATGTTGAACAAACAACAATTTATTCAAGCCATGTGTCCTCAGAACCTGTGTTGAATTGAAATAAAAGCCTCTTTTTTTCAACAAGCTTTCGGATAAATATTGTGCCAGTCACTTCAATGAGGCTCTATTAAAAACTGATAATTAATTGAGATTGTAAGTAATAAAAACAAGGACTTGACTAATGTGTCGATGAAGAACGTTTGCCAATGGTCACCAATTGTTATCCTTCCTTCTGTTCTTTTATGCAGATATGTATACATGTATTTGCACATGATCTGTTTATTTAAAGAAGTAATTTACAAAAACTAACAAAACTTGTACATAAATAAATAAATCGATCACAAAAAACAGACCGATGAAAGATGAAAGAGAAACAGAACAAAATAGAGGAATTTATAAATAGATAGTGAATGCGATTATATGCAACATCATACTGTAACACTATTTTACAGATATTCCATTTTAATCATAGTGAATTAAAGAAAATTTCCTAAAGAAAGAAAAAGATGAAAGAAATGTGACGAAATGTTTTTTACGTTTTATATAAATATATGTTTAAATGATCAATCATTGTGGTAATCAAATTAGACAACTGGATTTTATCAACTAACTACAGTTTTAACACAAATGATCTTTGGTCTTTAAAATCTGTTCGATGAAAAAAATTATTCTACGAAAATGATTAGCTTTTAAAAACAAATTGATAAAACAACATGTATAATAAAACTTATAATAGAGTTTAATATTAAACTATGCATATTGATGATTTAATGAATAATATTTATGTTCGATATGATAAGAAGAAAAAAGATGCATAAATGAAAATAATTCATTTTTTATAATTTGACCAAAAAACATATTATTTATTCAATAAAATCTTCATTCATTTTAATCAATTATAATGATTACATCTTTCAAATGTTAAAACACTGAAAATCTTTCTTTGTGAACATTCTTCAAAAAAAAGACGAAGTAAGTACCAAAGAATTTAGATAATTATTTTAACCAAAAATAGATGTAAGTAGATATAAAACAAAATTTATTTTATTACGTATTGTCAAAGTTTTAAACAAAGATGATCAAAGCAATCTGGAAAATTACAGTGAATTTATAAGATATAATTAGAACAATTATATTTTTCGAAGTACATTTATGCAGCATATTTTTGTAAATCATTTACACAACATATATCTGACAAAATTTTTTATTATTGTCATTTATTTGTAGTAATTTGATATTCAAAGAGTATTGATAAAATATTACTTTCAATTGTTAAAATTTAAAACAGAGATTCGACAACTCAAAATATAAAAAACGAATTTTTAATATGAAATTTTGAGAAATGACCTTTTTCAAATTATCAAAATATTTATTTATAAATATAAAAATACTCAACCTCGTCAATCGTTTGTGGAACTCACATGTTTAAGTGAAAGTGTAAGTTTACATTAAGGTTATTTGGCTTCTTCTCTTCCAGTTTATAGACAACTTTTCTTCGTTACAATAAGGCGCATTGCACAAATTGTTGCTATGTTTTTCTCATTGCCTCCAGTTATTCATTATAAAGAGACCTATATTACAATAGTTCACTATATTTGCAATATACTATATATTTTTGTAGGACTCGTCTACTTTTTCTCTGGAGTAAAATTATAATTGTAATTTTACTTCAAG